CTAATGCATCAGGGCCCATGTCTGTGTGAGATGGGAGACACCAGCCTCGTGTTTTCTTTGCACTTGTTCTCTCCTCTTGGTGTTTTGCCTGCACATGAAAAGGTAAGAGGCTGTTTCTGGCTCTTTGAGTTGTTCTGAGTGATGCCTCAATCCAGCTGGCTTGCTATGGTTCTTAAAGAGAAAATCCTAGGAAAAAAGAGAGACCATGGATGCAGAGCTTAGGTTTTCCTTGATTATTTTTTGTTCCATCAGTCTTGAAGCAGGAGTTCAAGTGTTTCTGTTAACAGATTTGGCTGTCAGTCTGGTTTTCCTTTGTCCCAGGTAGCTGCCAATAAAATACTATTTCATATTGTTATGCCTTCAGCAAATGAGCCACCCAGCACCTCCTAAATCAGTCCTTGAGTAGCAGTTCTTTGTCCTTTGTGGCCAGTGGAGAGACCTGCCTTTCAGGTGCTGCATTAAAGAGAAGGCCCCTGTGCTCCCTACCTCTTTCCAGGGGAGGAATGAACAGAAAATCAGCTCCCAGGCTCTGAGCAATAACAGAGGTGAACCTTAGAAAGGCAGAACTGGCTGGTGACTGGGTGAGCAAGCTATTTTCAGTTCAGAGGATGAAAACATCTCCCTCTAAACACCCCAGATGCACCACGAGGCTGGGGCTGCTGTAATTGCAGAGGTTCCACTGGCTCAGAATGCCCCACTTCTGTCTGACAGGTTGAAAGAAAAGAGGAAAGGCAGAGCCAAGGCTATTCTTGGGGTGTCTCCTGTCAGCTCCACAAAAAGGCACTGAGATTGGCCTTGCAGGACGTTACCTGCTGCCCTCCACGGGTGACAATGGCTGGCCAAGCAGTGAGGCACCTGGAGGAGGGAGTAAAGCCAATGTAATGATGCAGCAAAGTGACTGAACCTGGTGCACAGGGAGATGGAAATCGGGTGCAACTGGGGGCTGGGGTGCAGGAGAGGTGGGGAGGAGGTTGAGTGAAGAGCTGTGGCTGTTGTTTTGTGAGAGGATGTCTCAGATGCAAGCACAGGCATTTTCTGGCAGTGTCACAGGGAATTCTGGCTTTAAGCATGCATGTTAGACAGTTAGAGAAAGCTATCCCAAAGTGAGAGGCTGCACTGGAGATGCTGAGACTCCCTTTTCCCTTTTTGTGGGAAAGGACAGTGGGGAATGATTTAATCTGAGAAATCTGAGACTGGTGTGGTGTCCCAAAAACAGGTCTTCTAACATGAACATAGGGATGAAGGAAGACCCTCAAAAATATTACAGTGAAGCAGAATGAATGAGACTAGTCTGCAGCCACTGTACTGAGGTCTCTGGTCTTTGGTCTTAAATCACCCTCCCAGTGACAGCCTCACCTGGTGGGGTGAGGTGAAGTGACCTGAGCAGGGTCAAGGAGGGAAAGTGGGACAAGCTAGAGAAAACTCAGTCTGCCCCCCTGCCCCTTGATCTCTAGACCAGCATCAGCTCTGCTGACAGCAGAAGATCTCTATCTCTGCTATGCTGTGAGGGATCAGCACAAAATTTCCAGTGTTTTTTCTTCCCTTGACCAGTTCCAGCCACCCTGTGGCAGTATGTCTGTGCCTGCCCTTGTCTCTGTCTTGAGCTGCTCAGGGCTGTCTCTGGTCCTGCGAGGCCACCATCTGCCTCCAGTTCTGTTCATCTTGACATCTTCATTGGAAGGAAACCAGCTGTGAGGAAGGGCCAGTGCCAGCCATGCCCAGGATGCCAACCTGGCAGCCAAGAGCCCTGGCCAGACAGCTGGTGCTGTGCCTGTGGCTCAGGAGCTGTGGCCCGCAGAAGCCAGGCTGCCCAGCCCCTCAGATGGTAGGCTCTGAATGGGAGGGTAGGGGGGCTACTGAGGAATCAAAGGAAAATGTCCTTCTGATTGATGGCCCTCATTTGCACATGAAACTGGGACCTCTGAGCCCTGCAGGCCCTGCACGTGTGGCTCAGCTGCTGTAACCAGGGCTGGGAGAGGAGGAGGTAACCAAGGAGGGAGAAACTCCTTCCAGCTCTGGACACCATAACTGTTTTTGTCTAAGTGTCCTAGGTCTGAATTTTCCTTGCCTTTACAGTTACTAGAAGTTCATTGCTTATTTTAATTTATTTTTTAATTGCAGGTGAGGCAGAGCACCCAGGATTATGGCAACTCCATCCACCTTCTTCTTGCCTTGCCTTTTCCTGTGCATGTTGGTTCTTCCTGACACGAGTCTGTCAGTCTCTCTGGACCCTGGCACAAAGCTCAAAAACATCCCAGAGAACAACAACCATCTTCAAAACCAAGAGCTATGGCTGCAGCAGCCCAGAAACGGGCACCACCACAAGCATGGCTTGGCCAAGAAGGAGAGGGTCCATGCCATGCCTTCCAGAGGGCGGCTGGCTGGGGAAGAGACCCTCAGAATGGGTAGTGGAGCTCCAGCTGTGGAGGAGCTGGTGGCAGAGGGACAACCAGCAGCCCTGAAACAGAACAAGGATGTGTTCCTGGGTTTGGAGTTGCCATATCCTGAGAGGGACAACCAGGCCCCTGGGGCTGAGAGAGGGAAGAAGCAGAACCGAGAGCATCGGCGGCACGGCCGCAGGGACAGGCTGAAACCCCACAGAGGTACTGCAGCTCCAGGGGAGGCTGAGCTCTTGGCTCACTGGAAAAGAGGGGCACTTGTGTGAGGGCAAGAAGATGCTGCTGTGGTTGAGCCCCATGGGTGTGTGGAGGGCGTGGGACATGTGCCTGCTCTGGGGACAAATCTGCCAGACAAAAGAGGCACAAGAAAAAAGGGGAACTCCACAACTAGAGGTCTTTGCTGCTGGCTGCAATTTTGTGCAAATGACCTGCTTTGCCTTGCAGGGGGAGCTCAAAGTTCCTAGGACTTGAGGGGTTGTTTTGGGGTGGCCCACTTTGTTGTTTTTCTGGTTTTTTTGCAAATGGTTCAATTTATGAACAAACATGTCCAAGCTGTGCTCAATCTCTCCACTGACTTCAAAACTAGAAATAATACAAACCCCCTCCTTCCCATGAAGATCAATTTCTTCTCATCAGAGCTTGTATTCTTCTGTATTTGTGCTGAACTACAAAAAATACAGATTTTGCATGTGGGAAATTGCACTAATTGCTTTGAAGTGTTGCTTGGTTTTGAGTGGGGCTGCTTTCCTTTGCAGGTCAGGCTGTGTGGGGGGTGTCTCTGTGGTTTGGTGTGCTCAGTGTGGTAAATCTTCAGCTCTAGTGAAGCCAGGCAATTTGTGTCCTGCTACACTATTTGACAAGTGGGGTGTCAGTGTCCCCAAATTCCAGCTATCACTCCTCCCTGCATCAGTAGGAGGAGCTCTATTGTCTTCTCAAGGGACTGACTAAAACAGCTCATGTTAAGCAATATAGAAGAGTAGGCAACAAAGGTGGGTTGATGCAATATTTGCAGGCTACAAAACAGGCCTTGTGCCTTTGGCTTAACTTAAGGTCTATATTTAAATTAATACTTAAGAAAAGGAGGGATCAGGCTGTGGCGATGTTCTGATTTCAAGTTAGGTATGTCCCAACTTGAGGTAAATTGAAATAACCCACTACTAAAATCAAGTCAGGATGTGTTTACAGGTGTTTGCAGCAGCTTAAACCACTGGTTTAAAAATGTTTAAACTCGTATTTCTTATACTCTTGAGACCAGAAGAAGGAATTCTTTGCTTCTTAAGCAAGAAAGAGACATATCTTCAAGAAGGTGTGATAAAGTATGACTTCAGTGTGTAAAAAATCAAGATGCATACACTCCAGACCTGATCTATCCCTTGAATAGCACAGGATTGTTTTGCACTGGTCTAAACAGCAGCTCAGGGTGGGAGAATGTTGGCCAGTGGCTGGATGAAATCTGAATTCCTTCACTCAGATGTATGGCACACAAAGAAAAGCAATGAGGAAACTGATGCTACTGTACCCGTTGCCCTCTGCAGGGAAGACTCCTGATGGTGGGCCAAGCTCCCTGTACAAGAAACCTGAGATCTTTGAAGAACAGTTTCAAAACCTCCAGGCAGAGGAAGCTACAAGTCTGACTCCCACCACGCTTCTCATCACTGCACTGGAACTAGCTGCTTCCACAGAAGAACCTCCTGTTCTTCCAGCCACGTCCCCACGCTCACAGGTAGAGAGAAGGCTGATAACTGCACTGTCCCTCTGGTGCAGGCAGAAATCTCCTGCAGATAAGGTCTGGCTTCCTTTTTTTTAATTTTTTTCAGGTAGAGGTAAGGGCTTCCTTATCAGTAAAGTCCTCCCTCAAAGCAGCTTCTTGTCTGGAGATGTCATGGAGACATCCACACACTTCTTGCTGCACAGCAATAGTTCTTTAGCTGCTTCTCTTCCCTGCCCTGCCTCTCCTTATCTAGCCCTCTTCATGCAGCCTGAAGGACCAGAGGCAGTAGGAGCAGTTGGCTGGAGAGACAGCAGGTCCAAGTGCTCCTTGCTTGCCTTTTGTCCACTGTAGAAGCAGTGGAAACTTCCCTCTTGGCTTCAGCTGCAACGAGGGAAAGCCCTTCCCTTTGGATTTGAGATGCCAAGACAAGGGTGGAGGAGGTGGGGGGGGGATCATAAAGCCTTTTTAAGACCTGAAAGCACCAGGAAAATCTGTAGTGACTCCAGTGTCTCCACAGAGCTGTAATCCCTTGTCTCTTTGTGGTTTGCAGGCTCGGCTCAGGCATGATGGGGATGTGATGCCCACCCTGGATATGGCACTCTTTGACTGGACAGATTATGAAGATCTCAAACCAGAACTGTGGCCATCTGCTAAAAAGAAAGGTGCTAAACCTCCCTGTCCTCTTTCCCAAAAATCATCTTGTGAGGTTTATCCATGGTTAGCATTCACAGATGTGCTGAAGGACATGAGATCCCAGTGGTGTGGGGAAAGAGAAAAGCATAATGCTGTGTTTTGTGCTCTTGTTTCAGAATGTTCCTCATTTTGGATGCATAGTTTGAGGGCAGAGGAAAAATGATAGATGAAGGGTTGAGAAACAGGGAGGAGATTAGACTGTGAAGGTTTAGAGTTCAAACTCTTGAAGTTTGAAGCTGTTTTTACCCTGGAACAATAGAATCTCCACAATAAAAACACTGGCATGGAATTTTCTATCAGCATCTGTTTTTTTTCATAGAGAAACGTCGCAGCAAGAGCCCCAGCAGTGGAAATGAAACAGTGGCAGCTGAAGGAGAGCCATGTGACCATCACCTTGACTGCCTCCCAGGTCAGGATCAGCTTGGGAGAGTCATTTCTCCAAATGGCAGACTGTTTGAAATCCAGCCCAGGTTCTCATACAAATACCCTGATTTCTAATCCTGATGGGAAGTGGTCTCCAGAAGCTCTCTAGGCGTGTTGTGGCAGCAAGGTGACATCTGCAGCATGGAGCTGTCACACGTGTCAGTAGCCCTGTAAGGAGAGGGGACAGAGATGAGCTGTGCTGACCCGTGTCCCTGTGTTGCAGGTTCTTGCTGTGACCTGAGGGAACACCTCTGCAAACCACACAATCGGGGCCTTAACAACAAATGCTACGATGACTGTATGTGTGCTGAAGGTGAGTTCAGCTCTGCTCTCCTCCTTCCAGCTGGCCTCGTAGCTGTGTTCACTCAGAATGGTGCTTTCTATGTGAAAATAGGAGCTAAGCCCTGCTGCCCTTAGCCCTTGAGTTATCTAGGATGTCTTGCTTTCCCTCTGGAAAACAAAAATCCTGGTATCCACAAACCTAACAGAAGCAGCCAGAGTATATTAATGCTTCAAGGGTGCTTTCAAATGTCACAGCTTATAAAACCAGACTGCTATGGTTGTTTTCCATGACCTTCTGCCCAATGTGGCTTTCCTGAGTTAATTTCAGTTGAATTTGTAGCAATTTAGTAGGTGTGGCCAGGCCGCAGACTTTTGTTTCTTACAACTATTTCTGAAGAATCCACAGCAGCCCTTAATAGACAGTTGTGTTATGAAGATGTTGAGAGGCTCCCTTCTAGTCTGAACGTGTTCAGGATCAGCCCTAGGCACTTGGTTTTGGTCTAGGTCTTGTCTGCCAGAATGAAACTCTGGTTGCCAAATTTTCTGGACCTGTGTTAGGCACCCAGTGACTTTGACCAGGTCATTCACCTACTTTTAACCCAGTTAAACAGACAGCTTTCCTGGAGTTGCAATGTTAAGTGATAGTCTTCACCTTGGGCGTGTTGTCTAACACTTGAAGGTCCTCATCAGAGAGGATGATTAGCCTAGAAAAGTGTTTCTGCAAGCCTAACGAGGGCTGCCTCTGGCCCTGCTTTATACTTAAGCTAGTTATGCTGATGCCAAATGTGCATCCTCTGTAGCATTAAAAAGATCCCTAGAGATGTAGGGTCCAGATAAGATAGACAAGATGCTTAGATAAGAGTGGAGCTCTGATCTTGTGTGCTCTCCTTCTGGGAGTCCAGACTGCTCTGGGGGGATTGATAATGAGGGGTAGAAACCCAGCTTCAAGGTAGCTGGTCTCACCATAGCCCAGGGCCATGTGCTGCAAAAGGCAGCTGGGTGACCTGTGACATCAGCTGGGTCTCCTGGGTACCAGCACTCAAGGACACTTCATGGGCTGTCTCCTTAGAGCTGTAACTCCTCAGCCTCCCCCACGCTGGGGGTGCTGACACTGTCTCTATCTGCTGCCTGCTCTGGAAGTAAAAGGAGTTGCAGTTTCTAAGCTGATCAAATTGGGTCCTGCCAACCCCAATGACTAGATCCTGGGCTACTGAAAATCAGGGCATTTGTGAGAATTCGTTGCACAGAGGCTGTACCCTGTCTGGCCCCACTAGCTGGGCCTTCTGGTGTAACAAAGTCAGACAATAGACACCAAAAGACAAATCTATCTGTGCCAGAAACAGATCAGTTACCCTGACCCAGAGACTCCCATTGCCTTCCACTGCCATGAGAGAATATATACTGATGTTTTTTCCAAATAAAATCCCTTTTTTTTCCCCCCTTAGTATTCATCAATGCTATAACAGAGAAACTGAAGGCAGTCAGCAGTGGGTTTTAGATCAGACCTCCCAGTAATAACACTTCAAAGTCTCTTCCCTCCTTTCCTGAAGCTTTAGGGAAATAAATAACAAGGGGAGTTCCCTGGCCAGTGCTGCTGCACATTAAGCCTCTAGTAATTTCCCAATGGAGAGATCACTTAGACAGTAATGGGAAGTAATAGGGGGAAACCAAGCAGGGCTTCCATAAAATCACTGGAAACAATCAGGCTCATTCCTTTCAAGAAGCCAGTGCACATTTCTGCCTAGGCCAACGAACCCCAACCCCGAGCAGCGAGCCAAACAGAAGATGCCCTGCATATGGGAGGGGCTTCTCTGCCACCTCAGCTGACACAGCCTGGGGACTGTCCCGACTGCAGGAGCTGTCTGGAAGTGAGGTGGAGAGCTAGTTGTCTGCTGCTGGAGGGAGCCCTGGTCCCTCCTGCTCACTCACCCCTGTGTTCTCCCCAGGGCTGCGCTGCTACGCCAAGTTCCACCGGAGCCGGCGGGTGACGCGGAGGAAAGGGCGCTGCGTGGAGCCTGGCACTGCCAGCGGGGACCAGGGCTCCTTCATCAACGTCTAACCCCAGCCTGGGGGTGCTCAGGAGCTGGGGTCAAACTGTTCATACCTAGCCATGGGAATTAGAGGGGAAAGTGGAGCTAATGGTGAAGCTGCAGGTTCTGAACGCGCCAGGTTCCGAGGAGACTGAAGGTGCTGTTAATGATAAGGTGGCCACAGCCTTTTCCACACCAGGACTGCATCCCCCTTCCCTTCCCTCAGCACCTTCCTGCCACTGAGCAGGGTCCCCCTCTCCTCGTTAGGAAGAGATAATCATGACTGCCATTCTGATGCTCCAGGCAGGAAAAGGCTCTGCAGCTTCATGTCCTTGTCTCAACAGAGGCAAGATATGAAAGATCCTTCAGGTCAAAGGGGGTATGAGCTTAACCTTTACCCCTTAAGTGTTGCTTAAGAAAGGTAGATCTTCCTTAAGAGTCAGGTTCCTAGAGGATAGGAAACTTCTAGTCTCCAGATGGAATCAAAGATGGGAAATGGAGCAGCAGGAAGCTGGCTGCCTAGGTAAGAGGGACCCTCTCTCAGAGCTCTTGCTCTCTCCCCTGTTCAGTGCTACAGACAGATCTTCTCTGGTTGTTGCACACTACTGCTTCCTACCTGTATTCTCTGGGACCATCCAATCCCACTCCCTTCTTCCCTGGTTTCTGCAAGGATGTGGCAAGACACCCCAGCCTGCAGCTCTCACTCATTTAGTTATCCTGCCAAGTCTGTTATTTTTAATGATTATTTTTAGGAGCTTTCTGGGGAAGTGATAGTTTTCCTAGTGAGCCAAAAATAAAGTTTTTGGTAACAGGAGATAGGGACAAGCTGTTCCATTGTAGTAATTCCTGTGACATGTTGCATGTGTGTTTTCCATGATATGTAAATAAAGATATGATAGATAACCTTTGTGCAACTCTTCTGCTTCTTTGTCTGCACCTAAGGATGTGGCAGGACCCAGAAAGGCCTATAAGGGAGCTGGCCAGAAGGCAGCACGGGGGACTTCAGGTAATCACACCAAGCAGTTGTGCCACATGGTAGAAAAATTCCTGTACCCCAGACTGGGGATCTGAGCTTCCCTGTATCCTCACTCAAATTGCAGCTAACAATCAATTTCTCCCTGCTGTAGCCATCTAGATCTTTAAAACTTCTTTAGATGACTACTTAGTGACTGATTTCAGTGATATATATTGGAGCAACACAGGCTACACAGGTTAGTTGGTAAAGATGGTTTTTTTCTACAGCTAACATGCCAATGCCCTGGCTTCTGGTGGGAGACAGCTCTGAAACCTTTTTCTATTCAAGGACCTGGAGACGTACAGCACTTCTTGCAGGAATATAAATATTAATCCTGGTGCTGTGGCCAGAATCCTCTTTCTGCTGCTTCCCTAAACCCTGCTGTGTTCCATTTAGGTAGGCAAATCCCCATTTGGCACTCCTGTTTCTGTTGTAGCACCACTCTGCATTACATTTTTGCTCAAATGCTGCTGGTATAATAATTTACACCTCCAATATCATGATGAGTGCCCAGTCATGACTAAGAGGTATGCTGTGAATACAGTATTAGCTCTGACCTGCATACCCCTGCACTGCTAGGAGGCATGTGAAAGGAGGAATTTGTAAAGGAACATGTAGGCAAAACCTACCACTCAGTTGGATGCAGCTATTTAGGTTTCTGCTTACAGTATCACAGCCTGAGCTCAAAAGGCAGGGGGAAAGAAAGATAATTTACGCCATCATGATTTTACTCATCATGATGAGTGCCCAGTCATGACTAAGAGGTATGCTGTGAATACAGTATTAGCTCTGACCTGCATACCCCTGCACTGCTAGGAGGCATGTGAAAGGAGGAATTTGTAAAGGAACATTGTAGGCAAAACCTACCACTCAGTTGGATGCAGCTATTTAGGTTTCTGCTTACAGTATCACAGCCTGAGCTCAAAAGGCAGGGGGAAAGAAAGGTGGTTTGGCTCCAGCTTTATGCCAGCAAGGGTACAATTTGTTAACCCAGAGAGAGAAATGCAGCCCCTCCCTCAGCCCAGATGCAGAATAGTGGGTGGTGCTGCCAGTGCTATTGTCAGTGGAGGCATAAAGGGGGAAAGGCTTTAATTGACCACAGTGGGTTGCAGAGCTCTCAGAGCCTGGTCTTTGTAACAGGGATGAGAACCACACACACTGTTAGCAAAGCCAGGATTTGCTCCCACCCTGCTTTGCAAGGTGCTGAGATCTGCTGGAACAGTGCAATTAGAAAGCAGGCAATTCTGCAGGGGTCTTTCTCCTTGGTGATGCAGGGATTCATCACCCCATGTGCCACATATAGAAACCCTGTAGGATCCTGGGCAGTGTTTTGGGCAAAACTGCCTTGCAAATCATGTGAAATACAGGTGGGGCTTAAATAGTATGTCTGAATTTTAAGCCAGAGCTCTTAGATGCCTAAAAGAGACTTGCTTCTTCAACTTCCAGTCTGCTATTAACTCTGAACATAAAGAACAGATTATTCTTAATTGGTGAGATTAGTTAAATGTGTAAGGTCAGTGAAGACAGAGTTAATTATTATAAATGAAGTCATAGGATTACTGGATTGATTGCTTACATTGGAGTTTCAGAAAGAGAGCCCATGCCCAAGATTCTCCTCTCTGAATCAAGCAGTGCTGTTGGGGAGGTGGAGCAGAAAGGGTGAGCAGCAGCACGGGCACATGCTGCCCAGCCACAGTGCTGGGAAAAGAACCAGAGAACCCAATTTATCTCTCTGCCAGATCAACTCCTGGCTTCACAACTGCAATGTGAGGGAAGGCTGGGGAGTAAATAACATGCCAAGGTGTGGAACTCAAGACCAGGCTGTGATATAAAAGCCTGGGGCAGCATTTGTCCAAGTCCAACCCACTTCTGAGTGTAGCAAAGCTTTTCAGTGCCACTCTGTGCTGTCCCAAGGGCATGACAGCAGCTGCAGAGCGATAGTATCTCTGGGCTGCATCCAGCAACTTTCCCCTTCCTTCCCAGTATCTCCCAGTCATGGTGCTGCCAGTGACAGTTCAGACTTTGGGGGGATTAAGCCTGAACAAGAGCAGGAGACAAATGTCAAGCAAGTCTTGATTTACGTTCTTCTCAACTGACTGTTTGAGGAACTCCTATTAAGAATTCTCACAGGCTCAGCTTTTCTACTGCCCCCACAGAGCTTAAGCCAGAGCTCTTGCAAGATTTTCTATTGTCTTGAAAGGACTTTGGACCAGACCCAAACCAGCCATAGAAGGGCCCTGTGGAATCATTTTTAAAGTTAATTGCAGGGCATGCATGCGAGGAAGGTGAGTGACAGAGTCCCACCCAGACTCCTGCTCTATAGCTACTGCTTTTAGCAGCCTCACAATGAGTCCAAGGGGTATGCATCATTTTAAACCACTTCTCCAAGGGTGAGAATCATTAGGCATGGAAAAGAGAGGACAGCGTGCTGGTTTGACATAATCATCTCAGCAGCTGCCTGCTCTGCAAATGCTGTTGAGTCTCGGGGATGTTGCTGGCAGTTGCCAAAATGATGACTGGGAGAGAGACAAGGAGTGGAAGCACAAATTAAAACACTTGGGAATCATTCTGTCTCAGGTCTGTAATAGTCTGCATTCATTTTAGCTCGGGGGTGTTTTATTGAAATCCTCTCTCCTCCCTCCCCCCAAGTAATTACCCTGTTGTCAATCCACAGTGTGTGAAAGTGCTTCAATTTGAAACCCATGCTATACCAAATTGTTCAAGTCCAGGCTAGACACTCTCTGCCACATAAAGCCTGAAAAAAAGCATTGCTTTCATATTATTTTATCAGAAAAAAAAAGAAGGCTGTTGTTTTCTTGGAATGCGAGTGATCATATGTACTCAAACCCATTTCTGGTATGTCAGTTCATTTTCTAGAGCACCAGTGAGCCTTGGAGAGCTATCTCAAAGCTCTGGGTAGGCTTTAGAAAAAGAGAGGAGCAGCTCTTCCTTGCTGGGATTGGAAAGGACTTGTCAAGGTACCACATTAGTGTAACCCTCTCTGCTCCCCAAATCATCTTGGAGGAGACTCCCCACCAGCATTACAAAAATGCCTTCAGCTTCCCCTCCAATCCAAGTAACGTTTCTGCTGGCTGATTTCCCACTGGGATTTAAAAGGGAGTTTGCAGAGCCAGGGCAAGTTGTACATGCCCTCCCTCAGTGCTCCTTCAGAGCTGGTAACACGTGCCTTTGTGCCGAGCTGCTGCCTTCATTGCTCTCAGCTCCACAGCCAGGGGCACGACTCAGAGACACCGGTGTCAGCTCCAGCCTTCAGTTACCTTCAGACCAGACCCCCAGTGAGGCACGAGAGGGGCAGAGCTGTGAGGGGTGAGCTTGTCTGCATCCCCACAGGCGAGATAAGGCTGGCAGGAGCAATTGCATTAGCTCCTTTAATTCCCTACAGAACTGCTATCACCTCACCCACGAAGGGTATGGTGTCCTGAAAACACAAAGGAGAGGGTTGCTGCCTGATGAGCTTCACTTTTATGCTGCCAGGAAGGGAGCCAGCTCTGGGTTAGGTTTTTACTCACTCTGCACCAGACATAGCACTGATATATTTGACATAAAGCAGTTAATTTCTAGCTATTAGTTGCAGTGAGCTGAACTCACCAGGGCCAGTCTTGTAGTCAGGAAAAGAGCTGTATCCTGTTTCTGGTCTCCTGGGTCATCTGCTTCTCCCAGCAGGTCTTCTTTAACTTGCTGCCTGTCTTCCTCACCGTGTTTATGATGCTTTGAGTTACAAAGCCTGGGGAAGGGCCCAGACAGCAGGTTACACAGAGAGGCAATTTACAACCTACAAGCAAAGCAAAGCAGAGATAAAAAACAACCAACCCCCCAGATCAGATAGGTGTGAGAGACGTGCCAATGCATAATGCCTATCATAGCTCTCATTGTTTTCATATCCATGAGATCATTAAGACATTTCTAAGTCCCTTGAGTCCACGACATGTAAGCCCAGGATCTAATAAGCAGGGCTGAATTAATTGCACAATACACTGATGAACAAAACGAAGT